CTATCCTGCCCCACCCTTGTTACCCCCAAAGTTTTTCTTAGGTCCCTGTTGCCTTCACCCTTTGTGAAGTGATTGGGGAAAAGTGCTCTGTGCTTGTTGCCTTTTCGGCTTTATTTCTCATCCCTTAAGCACTGTTGATGAGCTTCCATTCTAACAGGGGACTTCCTAGTTCCTCAGCAAAGTAGTCCTATTCTCCACCCCTCTGTAACATAATACTCAGTAATACAGATGAGCACACTGTTTGGGGCCTTAGTACCTGACTCCAATGATACTTAATTCTCCTGGTTTTCCACTTGCCTCCCAAATGCTGTATCTAAGTCTCCTCCTCTTAGCACAATTTGCTTCCAAACGTTCCATCATCAACCTTCTTTTCTCTACCTAGGAGGAAGGCATACTGTGAAAAAAAAAAAAAATAGAAAACTGGTCTTATGACATAGCAGATAAAGCCACAGCCTGTGACAGCAGCATCCCATATTGGGCTCCGGTTCATGTGCTGGCTGCTATACAAACACAAACACACATCCAACTATGAGCTGAGTGCCATGTCTAATGCTAGGAATTCACGAAATGTGAAGTAGGAAGATGAGACTCCTCTCCTGAAAGATCTCAAATCTGCTGCATGAGACAGACAAGGGAACAAGCGCTCACTGCTAAATGCTTTGAGAATAAAGCATAGTACGTTTGTGATTGGAGCCCTTTACAGCTTCCCTTCATAATTGAGGGCCGGGTGAGATTTTTCAGAGGAATTGCCGCTTCAGTTAGTCCTGAATGTGGAAACAGAAGTTAGCAGATAAAGGTTAGAGAGATCAGAGAAGGTGAGTGAGAGAGATGAGCAGTGGAGGTAAAGAGTAGATGTTCAGAGACTTGGAAATTGGAGTATGAGTCATTGAGGGGACTACTGGTAATTCAGCATGGCTGAGGGGTAAAGAGTTAAATAAAGAGTAATTAGAAATGAGGTCAGAGGAGTAAGCAAGGTCCAAATCATGCAGGATCTCTTGAATTGGGGTAAGGAGCTTGCAAGTTAGTCTCAGAACATGGGGCAGTCACTGAGTTTTAAGCAATGTGGGGTCATAAAATGCATTTTCTGTATCCTCAATATGGAAAATAGTTTTGAGATCGTTAATATTAGAGGCTTCTTAGATTGTAGTTAAGAAGATTGTTGTCACCAGCTAAGCAAAAATGATGAATGGTCAAGTTCTTGATTAGCTTTCCAAGCCATTGGGGGGGAGCTGGATTGGAAGTAAGCAGCCGGGACTCAAACCAGTGCCCAATTGAGAGGCCTGTGGTACAGATGGAGGATTAGCTTGCTACACCACCATGTCAGCGTGGCACCAGCCATCACAGACATTTGGGGACTGGATCAGTGGATAGGAGCACTCTTTTTCTCTCCCTTTCTCTTTCCAACCCTCCCTCCTTTCAAAGTATGCAAATTCGCAAATAAATAATATGTACAGGAAAAAATATCTAGTAGGCAGTTGAAGCTCAGGAGAGGAATCAGAAATTGTCAGCATCAACGAATTACTTCAAGTGATTTGATAAGATGATGTCATTTGGGAGGACCTGGAAGGACGGCCTTATTTTAGGGATGGGTCCAAGTGACGATGTGAACAGATGGTGAAGAAGTAGAGAAAACAAGTTTGGGCAAGTAAGACGTTAGTTATAAACAAGAGCAGGAATGTACCGCAGTAACTGAGGTTCAGACCGGGATTTTATTTGTTTTGATGGACAAGGCCACGACACTCGGGACTGACAAAAGAGTCTGCTGATCTCTACATCAGGACCTTTGGGATCATTGTACTCTTCCCTTGATAAGGTGATACTGTAGTCAATGTGCCAGAAATGCTGGGTCACATAGAGTCAGGTCCCTTTGGGGGAAGCCACCTTCTTTGCCTCTAAGATCCCACAAGTTGCTTCCAACCTCACTTCAGGGCTAGGGCCCCTTTCCCACAGGAACACGTTTGGAGGCTGACTCAGAGAACTGGTTTTTCTGGATGGTTTATTGAGATCCTTGAGGATATTCTACTCCTAAGCAGAGTCCAGGCCTGCAGGAACTGGCTCCACCTTCCCAGCATAGAACTCTAGCAGAAAAGACACAAAACTCTGGTAGTGGAACTGGAGAAAGAGGATCAGAGTCCAGGAAGTCCAAATGTTCTTCAGCTGCTGTTTACAGTAACGCTTTCTGGTGCCTGTTTGGTGCCAGGCCCTGCCAATAGGTTGGCTACGAATCAAGCCAATGTAGTCTCCTGCCTGGAGGAGGCCACAGTACAGAGGATAAACAAGAAACCCATCAATTAAAGAGTTCTGGGACATTGTGAGAGGGTACCCAAGGCTGGGAACGCATTCAAGGGTTTGATAAAAGACAGTATTGAGGACCTCAAATCCTCCCAACAAACCAGAACGTGACTCTCCTGCTATTTAGGCAGAAATTATGATAATTCATGTTGATTATTTTTCCTTTGGCACACTTTTTCTTTCCTGTAAGCATTTGTATTCAGAATTGGGAGACAGAACATTGAGAAAATATTTGCACAAACTTACTTTTTCACATCTAGCCTTAGAACCTCCACATTAAAAGCAGATGAAGCCACCACTGATGGATGGATGTTTGGAGAACCCTTGGATTCAATGATCAGATCTGTTAGTATCTCTCAGTATCTTACTCTTACAACTTTAAATACCAATTATGCAAGCATAATATGAGTAATATATGAGTATATTATACCAACATACTTCTCATCTATATATAATCAAGACCTTGCCCCCAAATCTCAGACTGGTATTTCCAGCTGCCTACTCAGTACCCTTATTTGGATTTCTAATGGGTTTCTTAAAGTGTTGCAAATCAAATCTCTGTCTTTCCTCCTAAGCCTCATTCTCCCTTAGTCTTCCCCATCATAGTTAATGGCTTAGACCAAAAGGTCTTCTTTTTTAAGTTTAATTAATTTATTTTAAAGGTAAAGTAACATAGAGAGGAAGACAGACACACACAGAAAGAGAGAGAGAGATCTTCAGTGTGCTGGCTCACTCCCCAAATGATCATAGTGGCTAAAACTGGAACAGGCTAGAGACAGAAGCCAGGAGTTTCCACTGGATCTCCCATGTGGGCACAGCAGTCTAAGCACTTGGGCCATCTTCTGTTTGCCCAGACACATTAGAAGTGAGCTGCATGGGAAGTGGAACAACCAGTATTCAAATCTGGCACCCATATTGAAGGCCAATGTCACAGGCTGCAACTTAATCCGCGGTACCACAAAACCAGTCCCCAGACCAAAGCTTTGCTTATTTCTCTTTCCTCTCTGCTGGCCACTCCCCACCACCCCCCACGTCACCAACCCCATATCCAGTCTGTCAGAAAATCCTGTTGGCATCACCTTCACACATCAAATGCTAAGCATTTCTCACTACTCCCCTTGCTTCTTCTTTAGCTCAAGCTTCCATCTCTATCCGGTTTAATGCAGGAGTCTCCTAAGTGTTGCTCCTGTATCTGTGCTTGTTGTCCCTTGGTATACACTCTGGACAAGTGAGCCTTAAAAAGTGTATGAGGGCCAGCACTATGGCACAACAGGCTAATTCTCCACCTGTATCATCCCATATAGGCACCGGTTCATGTCCAGCTGCTCCACTTCCAATCAGTTCTTTGTTTTGACCTAGGAAAGCAGTGGAGGATGGTTCAAGTCCTTGGGATCCTGCCCAGTGTCGGAGACCAAGAGAGGGTTCCCGACTCCCGGCTGGCCATTGCGGTCATTTTGAGGGCTAAGCTAGCACATGGAAGACCTCTCTCTGTGTCTCTTTACTGTAAATATTCCTTTCAAATAAAAATAAATAAAATTTAAAAATAAAATACATATTTATTTGAAAAGCAGAATGACAGAAATAGGAGAAAGATCCTCATTTCTTGGTTCACTTCTCAAACGCCATCAACAGTGAGGTCTGGGCCAGACCAAAGCCTGCAGCCTGAGACTTCATCCTGGTCTCCCAGGGGCTTGGCCAGGGTTCTAGTACCTGGGCCAAATTTTACCTCCTTCCCAGGCACATTAGCAAGAACCTGGAGCAGAAATGGAGCAGTAGGCAGCTGCTTAGCCATTGCATCACAGTACCAGCCCTCAGAATGACCCTTTTAAAATACAAAAGCCTGGGCCCGGCGCGGTGGCGCAAGTGGTTAAAGGTCCTCGCCCTGCACGCCCGGGATCCCATATGGGCGCCGGTTCTAATCCCGGCAGCCCCACTTCCCTTCCAGCTCCCTGCCTGTGGCCTGGGAAAGCAGTCGAGGACGGCCCAAAGCTTTGGGAACCTGCACCAACGTGGGAGACCCGGAAGAGGCTCCTGGCTTCGGATCGGCATAGTATCGGCCCGTTGCGGCTCACTTGGGGAGTGAATCATCGGACGGAGGATCTTCCTCTCTGTCTCTCCTCTCTGTATATCCACCTTTCCAATGAAAAAATAATAAAAATAAATCTTTAAAAAAAAAAAATAAAATACAAAAGCCTGTCATTGTTCTGCTCAGCTTACTCCGGGTCACTCTCAGCTCACTCTGCACAGCAGCTCCCACCTCACTCCGGGAAGGGCCCTACTGCCACTGCTTCCCTCTGAGCCCTCCCTTAACTTCCTATGTTCTCACTCCCTCTCTGCCTTTCAAATACACACAAATGAATAAATAAATATTTGAGAAGGAAGTCTCTACCCTGGTAAAATGCCTTGTAGCAAAACCTTAGCCACAGAGGCAGAAATATTCCAGACGAGGAGAAATTACAATCTGATTGGTAGTTTTTTCCTCATTACACCAGGCAAATGGAAACAATTTCTCCACTCAGTCCCTCCATACTTTCCTAGACACACAGTCAAGGTTTCTTATTCGGCCACTGCCAATCCGCAGTCTGTCTCTCTAGCTTCCCAGGCCCCGGGCTGCTGGATCAAACTGTCTACTCATCCATCCACTCACTCAGCTTCAGCCACCGGCTTCAGTGAGTCTTCTCCCAGCCACAGGAGGACTGAGCTGACCCCATTCCTTCTCACTGTGAGTTGGCTTGGTTCGCTAAGTCTTTACTACAATGAATTCTGTCTTCTTTGCCTCTTCTCTTTATATTCTCTACCAACTCCAACCCTGTGTCCCAAGTTCATGCAGGTGGCTGCTTCCATCCATGAGTAACTGTAAGTCTCTTGCTTCATGTGCTTGTCTTTGCCTTCCATTTCTCTAAGTCAGTAACCCTTAAACTATCAGGGGTGTGTGTGTGTGTGAGCAGATCCTCTCCCTCCAAAAAATCTGTAAGACACAGCATTTGCATAGAAGTTCAAGGACGCTTAGAAACTCTTCTCTGGGTGGTCTCCGTTCTCTTTTTCCTCTGCCTCCTCCATTTCTGCATATTTTGATTCCAAACCATGGTACCTGGGCTCCTTTTGGAAGCAGACTCTCCCCCCTACCATAGTATTAATGTCATTATTACAAACCACAAGATTGTACAATGTTTTTCATGCATCAACTACTTTTGTCTTCTCCACAACCTCAAGAGGAAGCAACTCCTGTTGAGTCATTTTTGCAGATTAGAGAACTGTCGGTTATGTATTTTACTAACATCATACAGCTCTAAGTCCAGGGTTTCTTTCCTCTGCACAATGGTGTGCTACGTGTTATTAGCTGCTGTTTCAGCTTACAATACTCATGTCTGCCATCTGAAATTTACCTTCCCCCAACTGCTACTCTCATGCGATGATGTTGCGTAGCCTGTGACTGCTCTTTAACCGCCTTTTTCAGTGACTGCCCGGTCTTCACCATCTGAAACCCCCCATTTCACCACCACACCCACTCCTCTGAAGCTCTTTCTTTCTCCCCCATCCTCTCTTCAACTGACCACAGGTGGCTTCTTTGTAGCTGCTTGAGTTCATGTGGGCTCTGCAAGACTTTCGTTTCCCCTTCCATTCTTAGCCCAGCTGTGCTGCCTTTGTGATCCTCGCTGGCTCTAAATGGGGCGCTCCGATCTCTCCTGACAGCAGGCCTCAGCGCTTCCGGGACTGCCACACCTGAAATCAGGTAAGAAGAAGAGACACCCAGTTGAGTACCTGCTTTGTACTCAGCCCTGTGCTTGACACAGGGACAGAAAATCCAACTGTTTTTTTTTTTTTTTTTTTTAAGGTTTATTTGAAAGGCAAAATCACAGAGAGAGCTGTCTTCCATTTGCGGGTCTAAGCCAGGAGCCTGGAACTCCATCTTTGAGTCTTCCATGTGCATGCGGAGATGAAAGCATATTGGCCATCTTCCGCTACTTTCCCAGGCACTTTAGCAGGGCACTGGATCAGAAGAGCAGCACCTGGGATTTGAACCAGCACCAATACGGGATAAATCATACTGATGGGCACCGGGGGCTCTAAACTGATTAGTCAGATTTTGCCTGTGCCTGGACTGTGCCCAGTTAGGGGCCTAGATGGAGCACAGCTAACCTTTAGTTTCTCTTTTAGTTAATAAAAATGCTGCTCAGGGGCCTAGCGTGGGGCCTAGAAGCTAAAGTCCTCGGCTTGAACGCGCCGGAATCCCATATGGGCGCCGGTTCTAATCCCAGCACCTCCACTTCCCATCCAGCTCCCTGCCTGTGGCCTGGGAAAGCAGTTGAGGACGGCCCAAAGCCTTGGGACCCTGCACCCGTGCGGGAGACCTGGAAGAGGTTTCAGGATCCTGGCTTCAGATCGTCCCAGCTCCGACCATTGCGGTCACTTGGGGAGTAAAGATCTTCCTCTCTGTCTCTCCTCTGCAGTAAATTTGCCTTTCCAATAAAAAATAACATAAATCTTACAAAAAAAAATGCTGCTCAGATCCTGCACGAGAAGAACACCTGACTAATGGTTAATCTCTTCCTCCTCGGGTCAAATCTCAGATTGTCCCAATAATTTTAGTCGGGGTAACCATAGTCACAGGGATTTTGTTTTATTTTGTGTAATAAAATATTATCACAGAATCATTTATAAAGGTGCTTTTTTAAAAATCAAAGCATAGTATACACGTATAAAAGTATCAACAATGGCCCAAGCCATTAAACTGGCAGGACATTGGTGTCCCATATCAGAGAAACTGATTTTGAAATCACACTGCACCTCCTAATCTCAGCTTCCTGTGAATGCAAGTCCCGGGGGCAGCACTGATGGTTCAGGTAGCTGGATCCCTGTCCCCTGCCTTGGAGGCCCGGCTTGATTTTCTGTTCCTGGCACTAGCCTGGTCTGGTCCAGCCCTAGTCATCGTGAGAACTGAGAGAGTGAGTGAGCTTCTTGGAGAATGTAGTCTCTTTGCCTCAGAATAAAATAATCACAGGAGGCCAGTGCTGTGCAGTAGTAGTCTAAGCCTCCACGTGCAGCACCGGCGTCTCATTTGGGTGCTGGTTCGGTCGCAGCTGCTCTACTTATGGCCTGGGAAAGCAGCACAAGATAGTTCAACTCAGTGGGACCCTACACCCACATAGGAGATCCAGAAGAAGCTGCTGACTCCTGGCTTCAGATTGGCTCAGTGAAGGCCATTGTAACCATTTTGGGGTAAACCAGAAGATTGAAGATCTCTCTGTTTCCCCTTCTGTCTGTAATCCTGCTTTTAAAAATAAAAAGAGGGCCCAGCATGGTAGCCTAGTGGCTAAAGTTCTTGCCTTGCATGCTCCGGGATCCCATATCAATGTATGGAAGATCTTCCTCTGTGTCTCTCCTCTCTATATCTGACTTTCTAATGAAAATAAAATAAATCTTTAAAAAAAATAAAAAGAATTTTGGAGCAGTACGTTAAGCTGCTACCTGTGATTCTATAGCTGAGTGACAGCGGAAGTCTAGGCTGCTGTGCCTCCAATCCTGGTTCCAGTTACTGAGCCCAAGATGGCAGCAGAAGATGGCCTGACTACCTGTGTCCCTGCCACCCACGTGGGAGACCAGGATGGAGTCTCTGGCTCCTGGTTTCAGCCTGACACAGCCCTGGCCATTTGAAGTATGAACCAGCAAATAAAAGATCTCTCGATCAAATTTCAAGTAAATAAATAAGTCACAATTTTTGAAAAGGTGTAGGTTGATGAATTTTCACAAACTAAACACATCTGTGAAACAGGCACCAAATCAAGAAACAGAACATTGCCGGCACCCTGAAACCGCCCCCTCCCCGCGCTTGCTTCCTGTCCTCACCCTTGAGAGTAACCACTGTCCTGATGACCTTTACCAGCTGAGATGGCTCTGCTCCTGTTTTGTCCCACTAAAACTATTTAGAAAAGAACAGGTCTTCCCCATATGGGTTCCTGGTACTTACAATGGGAGGTCAGGCCAACTGAGCCATCATTTTGCACCCCTCTCTTTTTAATTAAAATTATTAAAAAGATGAATTTATTTTTATTGGAAAGGCAGATATACAGAGAGGAGGAGAGACAGAGAGAAAGATCTTCCATCCAATGATTCACTCCCCAGGTGAGCGCAACAGCCAGTAACGCGCCAATCCGAAACTAGGAGTCAGGAGCTCTTCCAGGTCTCCCACACGGGTGCAGGGTCCCAAAGCTTTGGGTTGTTCTCAACTGCTTTCCCAGGCCACAGGCAGGGAACTGGATGGGAAGCGGAGCTGCTGGGATTAGAACTGGCGCCCATATGGGATCCTGGCACATGCAAGTTGAGGACTTTAACCACTACACTATTACACTGGGCCCTTTTAATTAAATTTTAAAAATTATTTAGAGGCCTATGTTGTAGCATAGTAGCTAAAGTACTTGCTTGTGATGCTGGTATCTCATGTGAATAGTGGCTCAAGTACCAGTTGCTCCACTTCATATATATATCTATTTTTTTTTTACAATTTGATTTCTTCTCATTGGAAAGTCAGATATATACAGAGAGGAGGAGACACAGTGAGGAAGATGTTCCATCCGATGATTCACTCCCCAAGTGGCCACGATGGCCAGAGCCGAGCCAATCCAAAGCCAGGAGCCAGGACCTCTTCTGGGTCTCCCCCGTGAGTGCAGCGTCCCAAGGCTTTGGGCCATCCTCAACTGCTTTCCCGGGCCACAGGCAGGGAGCTGCATGGGAAGTGGAGCCACAGGATTAGAACTGGCGCCCATATGGGATCCCAACGTGTGCAAGGTGAAGACTTTAGGCTCAGTAGGCTACTGCATAGGGTCCCAGTTGCTCCACCTCGAATCCAGCTCATTGCTAATGGCCTGGGAACAACAGCTTAGATGGCCCAAGTATTTGGACCCCTCCCACCCACATGTGCAATCTGTATGAAACTTCTGGCTGGCTGTTGTAGTCATCTGAGGAGTATACCAGTATACGGAAGAGGTGTCTTTCTCTTTCCCCCACCCTATTTTGTAAGTCTGATTTTCAAAATAAATAAGTATTTCTAAAAAAACTCTTTGTGGGCCTGGCACATTAGCCTAGTGGCTAAAGTCCTCACCTTTGCATGTTAGGATGCCATATGGGCACTGGTTTTAATCCCGGTGGCCTTGCTTCCTATCTAGCTCCCTGCCTGTGGTCTGGGAAAACAGTCAAGGACAGACCAAAGCCTTGGGACCCTGCACCCATATGGGAGATCCAGAAGACAGAAGAGGCTCCTGGCTTCAGATCGGCTCAGCTCCGACCATTCTGGCCACTTGGGGAGTGAATCAATGGATGGAAGACCTTCCTCTCTGTCACTCCTCATCTAAATATATCTGATTTTGCAATAAAAAAAATAAATCTTAAATGTTTTATGTGTATTTTAGGGGCAAAGAGAAGCAGAAGATTTCCATCTCTCGGTTCACTTCCAAAATCCTGCCACAGGAAGGAGTGGGCCTGCTTAGACCTGGGAGCTGGGAACACCCACTCCCAAGTGGGTGGAAATCATCCTAACCACTAGGCCAAATGCCTGCCACACAAGGACTTTTTTTAAAAAAAAACATTTATTTATTTTTATTGGATAGGCAGATATACAGAGAGGAGGAGAGACAGAGAGGAAGATCTTCCATCTGATGGTTCATTCCACAAGCGGCTGCAACGGCTAGAGCTGAGCCAATCCAAAGGCAGGAGCCTCTTCCAGGTCTCCCAAGCGGGTGCAGGGTCCCAAAGCTTTGGGTCATCCTCGACTGCTTTCCCAGGCCACAGGCAGGGAGCTGGAAGGGAAGTGGAGCTGCTGGGATTAGAACCGGCACCCAGTGTGTTCAAAGCAAGGACTTTAACTGCTATGCTATCATGCCGGTCCCACAAGGACTTTTTAAAGGGTTGTGAATAGCCATGGTTGTCACACAATGGGTCAATCCACTGTCTTAAACACTAGCATGCTATATCCAAGTACAGTTTGAGTTCAATCTGCTCTGCTCTCATCCAGCTTCCTGCTAATGTGGCTGGGAAAACAGCAGAGTGGTGCAGGTACAAGGCTGCTGTCATCTTCTTGGAAGACCAGGATGGTTTGGCCGGCCTAGATCTGGCTCTCATGACTGTCTCTCCTTTCTGTCTGTTTGCCTTTAAATACAAGCATACATGCATGAATAAGTTATTGTAGGCCGTTGTAACTTGCAGTGGTTGTAACATAGTGAGTAAAGACATTACCTGGGATGCTGGCATCCTGTTTGGGTACTGTTCGAGTGCCAGGGCCTTTACTTCTGGTCCAGCCCCCTGCCAATGATCAGGGAAAAAGCAAGGGAGAATGACCCAAGTTCTTGGGTTCCTGTACACACATGGGAGATCCAGATGAAGCTCCCAGCTCCTGGCTTTGTCCCGGTTCCTCACTGCTCATTGTAGCCACCTGTGACGTGAACTAATGAATGGAATACCTCTACCTCTCTATCTGTAACACTGCCTTTCAAGCAAATAAATCTTTTTTTTTTTTTTTTAAATATAGCTTAAGAAAAAGTTCAGGAAGGACCCAGCACTGTAGCCTAATGGCTAAAGTCCTCGCCTTGCCTGCGCCAGGATCCTAGCTGGGCTCCAATTCTAATCCAGGCTGTTCTATTTCCCATCCAGCTCCCTGCCAGGAAAGCAGTAGAGGACGGCCCACAGCCTCGAGACCCTTCACTCATGTGGGAGACCCAGAAGAAGCTCCTGGCTTCAGAT